TGTGTGTGTGTGTGTGTGTGTGTGTGTGTGTGTGTGTGTGTGTGTGTGTGTGTATGTGTGTGTGTGTGTGTGGGTGTGTGTGTGGATGTATGTGGATGTATGTGGATGTATGTGGATGTATGTGGATATAAGTATGCGTGTGGATATAGTGCGTACATGTGTTTGAGGGACGGGTTGATGTGCGTCTATGTGTATGTGTGTGTGTGCGTCTGTGTGTGTGTGTGTGTGTGTGTGTGTGTGTGTGTGTGTGTGTGTGTGTGTGTGTGTGTGTGTGTGTGTGTGTGTGTGTGTGTGTGTGTTTGAACTCCGTGCTCCTCCCACCATGCCAGAGATCGTCCTCTGGTTGTCCTTGTTCCACATGAGGGCCTCGGTGGTGAGGTGACCCTCGGCCGCCAACCGCATCTCCTCACGGGTGCAGTTCAGCTCCTCCTCCTGAAGGTGCTGCTCGTACCAGCCGTCCTCGTACCAGCCTGCGAGAAATCATGGTTCGGAGTGGCTTCTGTGACCTGCTTGCCCTTTCCCGTTCTGGACCGGGGTTTGCGGTCTATTTTCTGGTGTCTTATCCTTATTTCTATATATTCCTCGCTAAATAAGTAGTATATCCACGTGCTGAATAAGTTTTCCTTTCCATTCGTCTGTCTGTTTATCTATATCCCTCTCTTCCTGTCTATCTACCTATCTACCTACCAACCTACATACCACCCTCCTTCCCTCGCTTACTCCCTTCTCCCTCCTTCCTTCCCACCCTCCTTCCCTCTTTCCCTCCCTCACTCCCTTCTCCCTCCCTTCCTCCCTTCTTCCCTCCCTCTCTCCTTCCCTCCCTCCCTCCTTCCTTCCCTCCCTCCCTCACTCCTTTCCTCCCTCCCCTCCTCCCCTCCTTCCCTCCACCCTTCCCTCCCACCCTCACTCCCTCCCTCCCACCCTCCTTCCCTCCTTCCCTCCCACCCCCCATCATCCCTCCCAGACAAAGCTTACCGATGAAGAACCAGACGTAGCTCTTCCCGTAGAGCTTGTTCTTGAAGATCTCGCAGAGGACGCGCCGGGCAGCCACCACGTAGAAGAGGCCGACGATGATCCTTGCGTCCTGCCGCTTCAGGTTGCGCACGGCGTCCGTCGGGTCCGAGAGGAAGCTCTGGCGGGTCACGATCTCGATGCCGGCCTCCTTGCACCGAACCTCGAGGTCCTCGACCGTCTGCGGGTTTCAGGCGCGAGGTGTGGATTGTTAAAGGGAGATATGGGAGGCTTATATCATCGGTATTCACTGATTATGGAGACACGTAAGTAATGTATAATTCATATCGTTATCATTTTTATTATCGGCATCATTAGTAGTAGTAGCAGTAGTAGTTGTAGTAGTAGTTGTAATAGTAGTAGAAGTAGAAGTAGTAGTAGTAGAAGAAGTAGCACTAGTAGTTGTAATAGTAGTAATAGTAGTAATAGTAGTAGTAGTAGTAGTAGCAATAGTAGTAGTAGTAGTCTCAGTCTCATTATCATTCCAATAATTATCATCACGGCCCCCCCGCGTGCCCTCACCGAGATGAACACCTCCTCGGCCTGCTGGAGGATGGCCACGCGGGACCAGTCGTACTTCTGCATGATTTTGATCCTCAGCGGGTTGTGCACCGTGGCCGAGGGATGCGTGCGGAAGAACGTCGGGAAGCGGTTCCTGTCGGCCAGCGCTGGGGAGCTCGACCCGTAGGAGAGCTGGGGGGGAGGGAAGGTGGGAGGGGGGAGAGGGGGAGGTTGTAAAAGGAAAGGAGAGGAGAGAGAGAGAGAGGAGAGAGAGGGGGTTGGGGAGGGGAGAAATAGAGGGGTGGAGGAAGAGAGGGGGTGGAGGGAGGGAGGGAGAGAGAGGGGGTGGAGGGAGGGAGGGAGAGAGAGGGGGTGGAAGAAGAGAGAAGGGGTGAAAGGGGATGAGGGGGGGGAGGTGAGGAAGAGGGCGGGTGTGGGGAAAGGAGGGAAAAAATAAAAGGGTTATTATGAAATCTAAAGACAACGGCTCTATATACAAGCTTAATCTAACCATTCCATCGCAAATCCCGCTCAGGCGAGGAATTAAAACCTACCACGCCTCACGATATGTAACCCACAAACATTTCATAACTACCTTGAAACTCGCCCACAGCCAACAACAGAAATTCATAACCGCTAAAGCTCACCACAACCTCAGTACCACCCACACCCACTCTAACACCCCCACAGCCGTCCACAGATTTTAAACCACCCACACCCAAGCAAACAACCCTACAGCCGCTCACAGATCCTCCCTAAACTGCCCACACTCACTCAAACAACCCCACAGCCGCCCACAGACCCCCCCCCTCACACACCCACTCAAACAACCCCGCAGCTGCCCACAACCCTCCCCCCCCTTTCAAACACACACACCCACACATACCACAACCAAATTCCACATCTTTGCCGCTTCGCCGATGGTCGTGCTGACGGTCGAACACCCGCCAAGAAGCATCAGTTTCGTCGGCGGATTGTAGAGTAGGTC